TAAGAGCAAGCAATTGTAAGAAAGACTTAATGGAGACACAGGCATCTCCCAACATTGATCTTGTTTTCCAGCATAGTCACATGGAAACATTAAAAACAAATTTCTTGATCAATTTATTTAACACAGGGATTTTAATTTCCCATTTACATCACTGCCTGTATGGCCCTGAGCTTTACACAATACTTGTCGTCTATTTGGTTTGTTCATTTATTATTTTTTTTAGCTAAGAATAGAGAACATTTGGCGTGTGGGTGCTCAGTATTTTAAGTTGAACTAAATTAGCCTAAGCCAATTGTGCAAATATAATTCCTCTTGGTAGTGATGGGTTTAGGAAGGTGTATGTGTTGTAGTTCTTGTCAATGAAATGTAAAAAGAGGAAGTCTCAGTAAAAAGAGACACTTAAGGAGTGTCAGAAGACAACATCTTCTGCTGTCCTACCTACATTGTTTTTCCTGGATGCGATGCCTGTAAGTGTGGCAGCCCTCTTGCCCCCATGAAGGCTTATGGGTGACAGCAGAAAGATGGGAAGAACCTGTCTCTTTAATGAAACTAATGGATTAACCAATCTTGGACTTCTCTTTTTGTGCAATAACAAATGTCTCATTGTTTAAGCCAGTTGAGTAGAAGTTTTCTATAATTTGTATACAAAAGCAGCATAACAGATACACAAACCCTAATGATTAGCTTTTCTGGTTATTTTCATTCTCTTGATCATGTTAGTTATGCTTCTTGGCATTCCAGATCCCCCAAGTTTTCTTGAAAAGAAATAACTGGGGCTCTTGTCAATGCAGTGTATAAGCACATATACTGCTTAAGGCTTCTGAGGGCAGCAGTTCCACCTGTTTTGTGCATCACTATATACCCAGGCCCTTTATAGTGCTTGTTTTTTAATACAAGTTGAGTGAATAAATGAATTTCCCATAGTTCCTTTTATATCATAATGTTATATTAGGCTGAGCATCTCAGGCAAGAGAATAAGGTTAACAGAATGTCTTTTCAATTCCTTTTTTTTCTGACTTTGTTTATAAAGGCAAATAAAAGTAGAGGCCATGACTTTTCAAGCATCAGTCATGTTTTTTTTTTTTTTCCCCCACCAAATCTGTTAATTGGCATGAGAGGTCATCTATACTTATCTTTCTATTGAAACAGATAAAATGAGATCACAATTCCAAGAACAAGGGATAAAAAAGAGGTGGTAAATAGAAGCTGTTTAATAGGCTACCATATGAAGGCTGAAGTTCTTTAGCAACAGTGAATTTAAAAGGATATTTCCCGTGCTGTTAAGCTCTAAATGTTTAAATCGACTAGAGTGGTACAAGTAAAAACAGAATTTTCACAGTTAAAAATTGAGCATATGTTTTATGCTTGGTTAAAGTTTCCTGTATACCATTTGAAATATCTGGTTCTACCTATATTAAATAACTGGTTAACTTACATCCATCTTTTAAAATTACATTCCAGCATATCCCTAGGGTAGCTTGTTTTCCAAGGTTGGAAGCTATGTGTTTTGGAAACCTACCCGTGCCAGAGGCTGCCACACATAATTCAGGTTATCCGCCAAGACATGAAAAGAGTGGAAGCAATTTAGACATCCCTCATTTGGGAAATGAACATATAAACTCCAGTTTATTCATATATTTGAAATATTAATTAACAGTTAAAATAGGTAAAGTAGATATACATTAGTCAATATGGTTAAAACTCAAAACTGTGTTCAGTTAAAAGTAGCAGGTTTTAAGTAGGATATGATTAACATAACATGCTAAAAACAAATCAGTATTTTTAAAATATCATGAAAATGATGCATACCAACTTAAGATTGTGGCACCCTCTGTGAGAGAGAGAGATTGATTTGATTTTCACTATATCTCTACTTGGCTTTTTCCTTTAAAAATAAAAACTTGAAGTAAGTATGGCAAATGTTAACTCCTGTTAATTCTGAGTAGTGGGAAACGATTCATATATTATTGTCTGTATTTTTCTGTATGTTTGAAATAGTTCATACCTTTTTTAAAAAGGGGTTAATTTCACAATTTTGGAATGACAAAGATCTATTATTATCTTAACCCCTTCTGCTTGATAGTCTAAACTTATATCAATATTAAAACTTTTAATTATAACTTAGAAAACTTTTTCTAGTTGTTTGCAGCAGTGTAGATTAAGGTCATCCCAGAAAGGCCACTTAAGACATGAAAATAGTACTTAGAATAAATCCAATTTCTCAGCCAGTTCTGTGCTTACCAGGAAGAGCAAGTTATAAAAAATAAGTAAAGAACATTTGAAGCATTTTGTCCTACAAGGATGGGTTGTTTTTTAAAGTATCCCAACTTTTTCCATAGAGAAAGCAGTTTGTCAGCAACTTAAATGTTTACTTTTTTAAAAAACAGAAGCATGTCAATATTTTTCAGTTCAAGGATTTTCTCATGGTTTTATTCATTCCTCTTGCCTGAAGTTTCCTAGAGAAAGTATGTGGGAAAGTGACCTCATGTCTTTAAATTTCTTCGAGCCATTTAAAAAACAATCTTGTAAAGTGATTTTATATTCTTATCTAAATATATGATTACTTTTTTTACTTTGGTACTATTATAAAGTTACCATTAGGCATATGAATTTTACAAAGCTCTTCATATGTGAAAAATAGATCTTAACTTTCAGTATACCAGAAAAAATACCATTTGCATTGATTAATCTTAAAATTTAACAATATATATTTAAGTCACTTTATGAATAATTTTACAGAAGTATAAAGTTTGAAAATTTAAGCATAGTGAACACAATATTTTATTTCCTTTTTTTTTTTTTTGGCTTTGAAGTTATAGACCCTTAAAATGGACAGTGTCAGTTGAAGGTAACTAACTGGTAATTACCTGCCATGCATGAACCTGGAAAATACTCATCTTGTAAATAGTGACTCCAGATTTCAAATATATTTCAATTAGATGCTGGCTTATTGTTCCTCTGATTCTTCTTGCATGTGCACTACCAAATTGCAATAAATTAAAAAAAACTTTGACATAATTTTTTGAAGAAGGATGGCAATTATTGGGAAAATGTTTAATTTTTAGATTTATAGGTATGAATAATTAGAATGACAAGTCCAGTAATTTTTCATTTCTACATCATTTATTTATTTTTAGTCACGTTTGTGTTGTTCTTCAGTCACCCAGTCATGTCCAGTTCTTTGCAACCCCACGGACTGCAGCATGCCAGGCTTCCCTGTCCTTTACTATCTCCAGGAGTTTGCTCAGACTCATGTCCATGGAGTCGATGATGCCATCCAACCATCTCATCCTCTGTTTTCTGTCGCCCCCTTCTCCTGCCCTCAGTGTTTCCCAGCATCAGAGTCTTTTCCATGAGTCAGCTCTTTGCATCAGGTGGCCAAAGTATTGGAGCTTTAGATTCAGCACCAGTCCTTCCAATGAGTATTCAGGGTTTATTTCCTTTAGAATTGACTGGTTTGATCTTGTTGTCCAAGGGACTCTCAACAGTCTTCTCCAGCACCACAATTTGAAAGCATTAATTCTTTGGTGCTCAGCTTTTTTTATGCCAACTCTCAGATCTGTACATGACTACTGGAAAAACCATAGCTTTAACGATATGGACCTTTATCAGCAAAGTGATGTCTTTGCTTTTTAATATGCGGGATTAATAATCTGTCTGGGTTTGTCATAGCTTTTTTTCCCAAGGAGCAAGCGTCTTTTAATTTCATGGCTGCAGTCACCGTCCAGTGATTTTGGAGCCCAGGAAAATGAAGTCTGTGTCTGTGTTTAGCATTTTTCACCTGGGAACTATATCAAGTAAATTTTGGTGGCTAAACACCAAAAACGGTGGACGAATACTTCCAAACTATCCAGTTAGCAAAATTAGATGCTCCAAGTCCTTGTCTTAAATTATTGCATAATGAAGCCCTTCCTGTTGAGTAAGTGGATGAGAATACCATATTTCCTTGTTGTTCTTAGAAATATCTGATTCAGTCATCCATTCTTGAGTTTGAGAAAACTTATTTAGAATATGCACCTGAAGGCTCATAGTCTGAGGTTTTGCCTCAGTGATCACTTTCATCAACATCATTAGGATCTAGATAACCCTCTGTCTCTTTGCATCCACCTCTGATTCTCTTAATAACTTTGAAGATTCCTCTGTTGATTTTCTCCTATTCATATTTGTCATTATAGTCAAAATGAAATATTCTAAACTCTAAACTGTGGTCTAGGCCATACCACCCTAAATGTGCCCGATCTCATCTAAACTCTCAACTGGATTCATTGAAGGCCTTAAAAAAAAGAAAAAAAAAAAAAAAAAACTCAAAAGATGGTATCTTTCTAGAATTTTATATCTTCTTAAAAGATGATGTTAATATTGGGGGAAATACAATATGGAAACTAAGGATGATTTAATAGTCATCATCATTTATTATAAAATAGTTACATGGGAATAATTGATTAGTAATAACTAAATAATTCCTGAGATAATGAAAAAGTAAAATATTTCAAACGATGTAAGAAAAATTGAATAAAATTAAATCACTGAGATCCCATAATGTATCTTAGAGTAATAAAAGGGTCCAATGGATTCTCATGGGAACTGAAAGATATAATGGATTGTATCCTATTTATAAAAAATAAACTTTCTCTTTATCCCTGGGAGAGAAATTAAGAAAAACTAAAAGTCATGAAATATCAATCCTTACAAATAAATGCTCAAAAGAAAATAAAAAGCTACAGTTTTGTCTAGTGACCCCAACTAGTATCTCTAGTATTAACAATCATAAAGTGTTTTCAGTTAAAGTTACAGGATAAGAAGTATATCTTAAAGAGCTAAAAACTTTATAATGTGGCAGAGATCACAGGGGCAGAGTTCTGAGTCCATATTTTCTTTCCACATAAGGCTTGGCCAGTGTGTTTGTTCTTGGAGATCCTAATACTCAAACCAAAGAAAATTGGTCCAGGGTGGATAGCTGACCAACTTAAGAATGTGAACGCTTTTTTTTTTTTCCCCAGGTTTTGACTCATACATAAGAAACAAACTCAGGACACCAGAACCAAAGGACTGGGTCAAAACGAACAGCGCCATAGAGCTCAAAGTCTCAAGCAAAACCAGATTGCAAAGACATCTTTGAAGCCAAACATCAAACGGAGCAAAACAGGCAGGTATGCAGAATGCAGATAACAGGCCCCTGTGAGGGAGAGAGGGTGACCAATCCTGCGTGAACTTCCTGCAATTTGAATTATTCACATTCTTTATAACAACACCCTTTTACTTAAGTCAGAATTGGTTTTCTGTTTCTTGGAAACAACGAAATCCCTAAAACAGAAATCACTGCCAGGAATAGGATTGTATTAGGCTCTGAGTGAAAAATGTAGAACTGTCTGTGGAGTGGAGGCAGGAGGGGTGGGGTAAAGGCACGGGTGCAGAGATTTCCCAGTCCCATAGAAATCGGGTGGCGTAGAGCTAAGAGGTGGCGAGATACCTAAACAACTGCCCCAAATCTCTTGAGCCCAAGCCTCATGTCACTAAAGCCAAAGCCTCAGATATAAGTTCTCGGATGTTGAAATGTGGGAATGTGTTAATTCTCTATGGACGTAAAAGTCAGTGGCAAGGAGTTCTCAGGTTGTTTGGCTAAAAGTAGATTGGAAAAAGCAGGTAATTATGTATCTCTATTTCATATTCTTTTCTGCTTAGATTGTTGAAGATAAGATCCAGATATTATTCATTAATTTGGAAAAACTCATGGCTCAAGAGCCTGGCAGTTGAAAGGACGACAGCTAGCAATAGCTAGACTGGTTGAGGAAGCTTAGCCTTTTTCCATAGGATGAGCTTGCCTATCACCCCCACGGTCCCCAGTTCCCAATCTCTAGTAAAACATGTCCCTAGACTGGAATGTAACTGTGGAGGGGGCTTTAAGGGTAGACTAGGGAAGAAGTGCTTCCTGTCCTACAGTCCTCTTTCAGGTCACTTTTGCTCCTTTATTCTCTTGAGGACAGAGCCATTAAGAATAATGGGGTCTAAGAAGAGCTGAATAACAAAAATCCTGAAGGAATGGACATTAGGTGGCCTGGTGATGAAGGGAGCAAGCTTACTCCACCCCCTATTCCCCTCAGAAATTCCTGGCATCACCTATCAGTCAGTGACACACTCAAGAAAAACAATGAATGAAAACCCACTAACATACTGGGCAGTTACCGCCAGAACTGCAGTCTTAAGCAGTTATACCAACTCATACCAACACAGTGCATCCTGGCCTCTTCTGGAGGCTCCAACTCAAGTAGAAAAGCATGCTGGCACCAGACAATACTTACTGGAGAGAGGAGGACTCTCTAATGTCCTTCTGAAGAGCAGGTCTAAAGGACAATTGAAAAAGGAAATCCTTCTAATGGCCAGATCCTAGGACTGGCAGGTGTGAGTTAGGAACTTACTTTGCTAAGAGCCAAGAAACAGATTTATTTATTTTAGGGGCAGACCAGTGATCAGTATATAATCCTATTTTCTAAGTTTCTTCCCCACCTCTTAAGTCATCCTCCTTTTTTAACTGAACCTTTTTGTTGAGGTTTCTCCTATTGTATTGCTGATGTAATGGTAATAAAACGTGCCAATAAACCCAGAGGCGGTCATTCTGGCAGGATGGTGATTACAAACACCAGATAGCAACTGAAGGGCAGGCATTTGTCACTGCTCCTGTAATACTGGATCACATTAGGCAAGATTATAGACATTAGTGGAAACAGCTCATCCACATGCAGTTCTTGTGAATGGTTTTAAAGCCCCATTTTTTTTTAAACCAGGTGATCCCATTTTCAAGGCTTCCACAAACGGTGGCGCAAGGTCGTGTGTACACGGCATACTCCTATGAAGAGGTCCTGCCCCATCGACTGGCCACAACTGACTGAGACCCCTGATCACACTGACATTCGCCTCTAAAGGACTTAAAGGTAGGAAACACAGAGACAGAAAAGCAAGCGGCGGTCCATGGAACTGTGAGGTTCTACAGAGCTGGGTCCAGAACATGCACCATGAAAGTTCAAAGGTCATGGGGACAGGGCTAACAGGTCACCCATGTGAGGAAGCAGAAATGAAGAGGCCTTCAGGGAAACCAGTTCACAGAGAGAATAAAACAGATGCATAGGTGATTATGAGTAAGAGAGAAGGAATGAGGAGGAGGAAGACAGAGGGCAAGAGACGGAGAGGGAGAGCAGAGAGCAAGGAGGGCAGAGACAGAGACAAAACTAGACAGAGCCAGAGGCAGATAGAGACACAGCAAAGGAGATGAACAAATCCGCTGGTGACTTTCTGGATGCCACAATGTCGAGCTATACTTCCTGCAATAAATTCCATATTTCTGATCCTTTTTGGTAACTTTGCTTTACAAGCTGTTTTAGGCAGATTTCTGATTCTTACAACCAGATGATTCTTGAGTGAAATATCTGCTCCTTGATTATAGCTGCTTTAAAAAATTTTTTATTTAAGTATAGTGGATTTATAACATTGTGTTCTGGGTGTATAGAATAGTGATCATCTGCACTTTTATATTTCATTATAGGTTATTACAAGATAATGGGTCTAGTTTCCCATGCTGTACAGGGAACTTATCCTTATTGCTTCTCTGTTTTACACATAGTAGTTCCCATCTGTTGTTAATCCCATATCCTTAAATTGTCCCTTCTCACATCCCTCTCACCTTTGATAACTGCAGGTTCTAGGTCCATGAGTCTGTTTGTTTTGTATATATTCATTTATTTATTTATCTTATATTTCATGTTAGTGATATAAGTATTTGACTTCACTGAGCATAATATTCTCTAGGTCTACTCATGTTGTTGCAAATGGCAGTTACTCCATTTTCTTAGAGCTAAGTAATATTCCACTGTATATGTACACATTGTCTTCAGCTAATACGTTGATGGGCACCTAGGTTGCTCCATTTCTTGACTATTGTATATAATGCTGCTGTAAACACTAGGGTGCGTGTATCTTTTTTGGTGTGTTTTCTCTGGATATATATACCCAGGAGAGGAGTTATAGGATCATATGGGGGTTCTAACTAATTTTTAGTTTTTTTAAGGAGGCTCCACAGTACCACACCAATTTACATTCCAAACAACAGTGTATGAAGATTCTCTTTTCTCCACAGCCTCTCCAGTATTTGTGTTTTTAATGACAGCCATTCTGATGGGCGAGTTATCACACTGTGGTTCAGATTTGCATTTCACTAATAATTAGTTAAGAAATAACAATGTTAAGTATCTTTTCATGCACCTGTTGGCTATCTGCCTTCTTCAGAAAAATGTCTGTTCAAGTTGCTTACCCATTTTTTGACTGGATATTTTGATGAGTTCTATGAGCAGTTTAGATATTTTGAATATTAACCCCTTGTCAGTCACATCATTTTGCAAATGTCTTCTCCCATTCCATATGTTGTCTTTTTGTTGATGGTTTTCTTTGCTATGCAAAAACTTGTAAGTTTAATTAGGTTCCATCTGTTTGTTTCTGCTTTTATTTCTCTTGTATTGGGAGACTGATCCAAGAAAATATTGCTATGACTTATGTTAAAGACTGTTTTGCCTATGTTCTCAGTTTTATGGTTTCATGTCTTATATTTAGGCCTTTTAACCATTTTTATTGTTGTATACTGTATGAGGAAATGTTCCAGTTTCACTTGAAGAGATTGGCTTTTCTCCCCTGTATATTCTTGCCTCCTGTGTCATTGATTAATTGATCATAGGTATGTGGGCATTTAAATGTTTAATTTGCAACTATGGAAATATATGTACTGCCTAATAAAAAACTGGGGCAGTCCAAAGAGGGAAGGCGCTCAAGGAAAAGGGACTATGTAAGTTGTAAAATCTTAACTACTTTCCAAAGACTTAGTTTTAGTCAATAGTAATAACATTTACTAGGCACTTCCTTTATGTCAGACAGGTTCAAAAGCTGTACATGCATATCTCAACTATTGTTCATTACAAACATAGGATATATTATCCTAACACTTTACAGATAAGGAAATTAAGGCCCAGTGAGAGATGAAGTAACTTGCTTAAAGTCACATAGTCAATAAGAGGATAAAAGGTATGTGTGTGTGTGCTGTGCTCAGTCCTGTCTGACTTTCTGAGACCCCATGAAACTGTAGCCCGCCAGGCTCCTCTGTCCATGGAATTTTCTAGGCAAGAATAGTGGAGTGGGTTGCAATTTCCTTCTCCAGGGGATCTTCCCAACCCAGGGATGGAACCCACCTTTCTTGAGCCTCCTGCATTGACTGTCGGATTCTTTACCACTGCACCACCTGGGAAGTCCCTAAAAGGTATGATCTATTTATTTAGATTAAATTGACACTTGGAAAAGAATATATGCACTTAAAATTCATTTCAAACTTTATTGAATGCCTATTATGTACAAATTACTGTTTTAAACTAAAACTGGTTAACATCAACATTAAAAATATAAAGTCTTAAACATCACTATTCAAAATAAATCTTCCTTTCTGTGATAAACACACATACACACAAAGATGTACTTTCTAATTAAGGTTTTCAATGTTCAAAATACCTCCTTTAAAACAGAAGGGAATAAATTCCAACAATGCTACTTTCGACGCATTAACTATCTTAAAGTATACTGGAATATTTAAAGACTGCTTGCTACAAAGTGGACTCACATGAAAATAAACCTTGATTTCAGAGGTAAGTCTACTATTAATAAAAACACTGCAATTAATTAAATGGATATGTAAGTTACACACACATATCTAAAAAAATAAATGACAATGAGAGGAGTTTTTCATGGAAGGTGACGTGTCGCCATGGATTCTGTTTCTCTTGATTTTCTGAGCAGAGCTTGTTTGAGGGCACTAATTTTCTCATCAAGTTCAGCCAGTGAATAGTTCTGTTGAGGTGGTTGAATTTTCTTCTTTTTCCAGAAAAGTTTACAGATTGAAAATATTCAGGAGAGATGCCTTCCAATTCAAGGATTCTGTCCTCAAGTTTTTTGATTCTCTGATAAATGTCTCTTGGCACTGGACCACCTGTTTGCAATCGCAAGTGAGCCTCGATATTCTGTAGTCGTTCTTCTACAGCCTGAATACCACAATCTTGGAGCATGCTGTTAGGTTTATGACCTGACCCTTGAGTTCCTTCAGATCTAGTCTGTGGTCCATATGTATTCACAACTCTAGAAACTTTTACATGACTTTTAAACCCAGGGTAAGGAGTAAAAATCGCATCAATTCTTGCACAACTATTTTCTTGATTACAGTCAATAACATTGCAAAATTCCCTGACGTTGTTTTCATTGATTTCAGCTTGCTTTCTTTCAATAAATGCAGATATTCGTCTGTCAATTTCTGCTTTTCCAGCCTTTATCTGAACTACTTCTGGATCAAAATGGATCTGTGTCTTTTTCACATCTCCTGAATCACAGTCTTTGTGCTTTTCTTCCTCTTCCAGGTATCCAATGGGAAAGTTGGCATTTACTTCATTCTTGTTCCCCGTTTCTGTTTTTCCTATTTCTTCAACAACAGTTGCATTCTCCTCTTTAATCAGAGGCTGAAGTTTTGCTAAAAAAGTCTGTAAATATAAAACGTGTTGCTCAAGTGCACTAAATAGAAAAGCAGGCTGGAGTGCCGAGAGGCTCTGGAGCTTGTTCCAATCGATTGTAATTTTCACCACATCATCTCTGAGGTTAAGCTTCAAAGGGGCAAACTTGTCCAGCCAGGTTTTGCAAGGAGCGAAAGACTTCACAGACTATGTCTCGGGAGAGGTTGGGGCTGCAGCTCCGCTCCAGGCTCCTGTCACTGATGGTCGGGTGACTAAGCTCGGCGGCAGCAGCCATGACACTTTCTGAGGCTGCCCCCACCAACACCAAAGTGCCCAATGCAATTCTTATTAAAATCCCAAATGGATTTTTTTCAGATAAAGAAAAATCCATCCTACAGTTAATATGGGCTCTCAGAGGACACCAAAACAATCTTAGAAAGAAGAGCAAAGCTGGAGACCTCTGATTTCAGTAACCAAAAGAGTAGTATTAGAATAAAGTGCATGCTTAGTTATTCAGTCGTGTCTGACTCTGTGACACTTTGGGCTGTAGCCTGCCAGGCTCCTCTGTCCATGGGATTTTTCAGGCAAGAATACTTGAGTGGGTTGCCATTTCCTTCTCCAGGGGATCTTCCTGACCCAGGGATCAAACTCGAGCCTCCTGCATTGCAGGCGGATTCTTTACCGTCTAAGCCAGGGGACACTCCTGTCTCACTACGCAAATCCACAACAAGTCATTGGTTCTTTTCTGTCCTCTGGAGCCTCAGTGGGCAAGTTCATCCCTCTTCCATGCAACAGCCCTTCAAAGGCTTGAAGGCAGCTCTCATGTCCCTCAGGCCTTCCCCAGGGAGGAATTCCTGCTGCATCAGGGCTCCCAGAGCCGTCAACTTGTGTGCGAACACAAAGCTTGCCCATTTTTATCCTGGATTGTTTGCTCTTGTTGTCACTGAGTTCTCTTTACAGTCTGGCTATTTCCTTGCATTCCATGGATTCCCTTTGCACTCTATTCACTGTGACTTTTGACCCACAAAAGTCTTTGTGCTTCTTGGTGTCAGGGTAGTGTTTTAATGTTGTTTGCTTCTAAATATTTTTGGATTCCCCTGTGAGTTCTTCTTTGAACTTTTAGCAATTTAACAGTGTGCTTTGTAATTTCCAAATATATGGGGATTTTATCTTTATCTTTTTATTAAAAATTTCTATTTCAGTTATTTGTAGCCAGAAAACATGGTGTATATTGGTGCTGATTGTATAAAATTAGTTGGGAGCTAGTTTAATAGCTTAATATGTCATCAACTTTTGTAAATATTCTACATGTGCTTGAGCAGAAAATGGGGGCTTTAATTGTTGGATAGAAATTCTGCTCACATCATTAGATGAAGCTTGTCAATCGTATTATTTAAATTTTCCATGCCTTTACTGATTTTATGTCTGCTTGCTCCTCATTAACCTTTACAACACACTATTTAAGTCTATTTCATCTGATATTCATAGAGATATTAGTGTGCTCTTGGTTGGTATATGCTTGATATCGATATATTTTCCATCCTTTTACTTCCAATCTTCAATGTCACTTTGTTTTAGCCATATCTGTTGAAAATAGCATATAGCTTTTTAATTTTTATTCAAACTGACAATCTCTTTTACTATTTGGCAAGTTAAGCACATTTTCATGTATTTTATTGATACATTTGGACATGCTATAATCTTATTTTTTAGATTTCTTCTCCTTCTATTTTTATGTTTCCTTTTTGCTTCTTTCTTTCTTTTTAAATGATTTACCTTTTTNCAGGTTCAATCCCTGGTCTAGGAAGATTCCATATGCTGTGGGACAACTAAGCCTGTGTGTAACAACTACTGAACCTGTGTGCACTCTTCAACAAGAGAAGCCACTCAGCACAATCAGAGAAAGCCCATGCACAGCAATGAAGACCCAGCACAGCCAAAAACAAATAAATAACAAAAAAGAATCTAGGAGCACAGAAATCCATAGATGGAGAATCATATAACTAATCTAAATTGTTTTCTCCAGTCTAGGCAGATAAACTCTTCTAAACTCTTTACACTGAGCAGCAGAAGAGGAAGTCAGCTGCTCACTTCTATTTTGTAATGAGTATACTTCATTTTATTTACCTGATGCTGTCTTTGGTCAGTGAAATGTGGGAAAGATCAGGAAGACTAAATAGTTCTCTCAAACACTTTCCCAGAATCAAGACAAATAATTAAATTCACCACAGGGTAAGAAGATCATGTGGTGTGTTTTTATATACATACATAAATAACGTATCTTGACATAATGGTAATCATTTCCTCTTCTAAGAGATTTACTCCAATAACCAAATTATTATGAGATTAGTATTAGAAAGTTCTTTGGTGAATTTATAGTCTAAGTATGGTTTCTTTAATTGCCCTTTCATTAAGAATGTTTAGCAAAAATAATCATTTTTAAAAAGAAAAAGAATGGTAAATTCAAAACATAAAACTACTGAGAATTATATTGAAAAACCTGTACATCCACCTTCCTTCATTCAGGCTTATATCAATATTCTGCCACTTCAGATCTTTTAATTTCCAGTTCAGAATTCAAAACAAAAACAAAAAACTAAACAAACAAAAAACTAACCAAGACACAGTGAAGTCACATATCAGCCCTTACTCCTCTGTTGCTGAATTTGGTACTTCTTATTTACATTTAGATTTTTAAATATTCACCATTTTTCACTGCATAAATAATACATATAATTTTTCCAACAAAAGATCTCATTATTATTGAGCCAAAGGACTAGCGCAGAAACACTGACACAAAGAGAAAAATAATTTTTTCAATAAAACAAATGGATGCATTAGTGATGTTTTCACAGTGATATCGTAAGATGCAAGTGACCCTGACAGCATAAATATGTGTGCCACCTCATGTGTGGCTCCTTATAGACCTACTTTGGTTCTTCTGCAATGTCCTCTTTTTGTTTTACTACCAGTTTTCATTAATCCAGTGGGGCAGTGGGACGATTCTGCTCTTGTTTCTTGGCCAGGAATCACTTGATCCTGAAAGTCTTGTGAGAAGAGCTGGTGAGGAGCAGAGTCAACTGCACGTACGATGGCAGAGAAGGGGAGGCTAATTATATTATATATTTAAAAACTTCATATGGATAGTCTCGTACTGTATAATACAGTGCTTTGCATCTTGCTAGTTTGGTGAATCTTACGTTTTCTTTGCTAAAGCCTGAGATGCAGCTGAGACCTAAACCCAGGATGGTTTCTGGAAGACACCTCTAAATCCTCCTGGCCCCTCACCTTGCTGCCTTGGTGTCCATTCTTCATCAGAATCTTCAATGTCATCTACTTGGGGTTTGATGACCTGTCTGCGGTGATGCATGAAAGCTGGTCGAGGGGCTCTGAGGCCTAGAAAGAAGCAAAATTTTTGCTCTAAGAAAGAGAAATAAAGCATAGAGGCAATGGAAAGTGTTACAAAGTCAGGGCAATTAGTAGGATGGGCTGGGAGAATCTAGAACAAAGGAAGAGGTGAGCTCTGCACTGCCAGGGCCAGCACTACATTGATACAAAATAAAAATTTCCTCCAGGTTAGTCTCCACACAAAAGGGAACTGTGAGTAGATGAAGCCACCTAAGAGAAAGCCAAGTTAACACTGAGGCTGAAGACCTGTTTCATGTTTCCTAGGCTCACAGGCACCCAGCATTTCCTGTTACCTATAGTAATCAGTGCTTCATGGTTTCTTTTTACATTCCTACATCAGATTTTTTCCTATTCTCCCATCTCTGCCCATTCTTCCTTGGAGAAGTATATGGAAATGTCTTTGAAAGCATCTTTGGCCTAAAGAAAATAATAGATTTAATCAGTGACTTACTAATATAAGTCAAACCTTAGAGCTGGGCTTTCTCCTCCACCTTGTGTGCAGGGAGTAGCCTGAAGCTACTGGGTGGTCTCTGTGAGACAGGCATGAAAACTTTCTTTCCTGACTGTGTCCTGCTTAACTGAGCATTTTCCTAACTCTCCCTGGACACAGCAGTTCACGATGCTAGTGTCCTGTTCCACCCCACTATACCCCACTGTCTCAGACAGGACCAGGCACTCCCTTACTGTGTACACTGACAGAGAAGTTCACTCAGTGGCGCGGGCAAGCAGTCTGTGGCCTTTCAGGGACCAGCTCCGTGTCCTTCCTATAGAGCTGGCTTAGAGCCCCCTCCACCTCTCACCATGGGCTTCCACTCTGTTCTCCCTGCCGCTCCCTCAGTCCTCTCTGCCAGTGACCTGTTGGGGCTCATGGCCCTGGGACTGCCTCAAGGCCGAGGTGCCTGTGGAAGAAGATGCTGAGATAGCCCAGACCACTGTCTAGATCCAGGTCTGTTTGCCTTGGGTGGAGTGTCCAGGGCAGGAATGTGCGGGGAAAGTCAGGGTAGGGGTTGGTGGGATGGACTGATCCTGACTGGCCATGACAGAGCAGCCTAATGTGAACTAGATTTGGTTTCTTTGGTTCCCCTACAACTTGGCCTCTCTGAGGAAAGGCACCCAGAAGGACGTGTCTGTGGGTGATGGAGGGAATCCTGAGGAGACCTGGGAACCCCTAACTGCTGGACTGGGATCAGGCTGAAACCAGGGTTCTGCTCCAGTGTGGGAGAGGGAATACTTCACCAAGAGGGGTTTTGGGGCTCTCTGCCTGAGGACTCTAGGAAAATCTGGACGTAACGTGGGTTCTACTTAAAAGGGACAGGTTGCTCAGCTTGGTGAGATCTGGGTCACAACGGGCTGAGGGAACTGGGGTTCCTCAGACAGAGGGGATTGGGGGTCTTTTTGCTGATGTAGAATGAGCAGGTTGAGAGAACTTGGGATCTTTGAGGAAAAGGAAATCAGGGTTCTCTCAAGCTAAGGAGCTCTGGGGTCTCTCATTAAGACGCTGTAGGTCTCTGACATGCAGGACAGTTGGGAGTCTTGAGGATAAAGGGATTGAGGTATTCAGGGTCTCTGAGTTGGGGAAATTTGGTCTCTCTGCGGGTGCCATTTTTAGGGTTCCTCAGGCTGAGGGGAATTGGGATTCCTCTAGGCATTTTGGGAGGGGGGGTGTCTCAGCACTACAGGATTCGGTGTTTCTGAGGGTGAAGGGACTTGTAGTCTCTGAAGCTGAGAAGACGCAAGCTCCCTTCAGGTTAGAACCCCGGTTCCTCAAAGCTGACGGGATTTGGGGCCTCTCAGCCTGGAATTTGAAGAGTTCAGGCTAAGGGTTTACGAGGGTTTCGCACACGGAGCGCTCCCGTCAGTCTCCCCGCTGTCCTCCGGCGCTGCCCACCTCGGCCCGGCGCTCGCTCGGAACTGGGAGGCGTCCAGTCCTCTCTGGTTGAGGCGAAGGGAAGGGCGAAGAACCGGCTTGTACAGCCCTGTCAGGCACCAGCCACCAACCTGCGTTGCGATCGAGGCAGTCCCTTCAGTAGGCTCCGGGAGGGTGCGGGGCGCGCAGAAGGTCCCGCCCCACCGCTCGGGGATTGGCTGCTCT